GAACTATAATTCCAGAATCAATGAACTAAAATTCCATAATCTATGAACTAAAATTCCAGAATGAATGAACAATATAATGATGTTGCTGGGAATCGAACCTGAATTTTTTTTTTAAGGGGAGACGCGCGTTTTTAATAAAACGACGTCGTTTTTGCATCCGTATGCACCATGCATGGTGCATACGAATGCACAGCATAACTACTCCCTGCACAGAGGATGGCCAATCGTTATGCTCTGGACCCGTGTCCAGCATGCATGCTGGATACGGGTAACAGTGCCGTTAGGCACTATTATCTTCTTTTTTTTTTTTTTAAATTTCAGATTCGTTATAGGAGTATATGTTCATAATTTTATTACTATATGTTCATAATTGTAAGTTCATAATGTCAGAGCTCTATGTTCATAATTCAATAACTGTACATTCATACTTCCATAACTGTACATTCATAATTACGTAACTGTACATTCATAATTCAATAACTGTAACTTCATAATTTTTGAAGCTCTATGTTTACAATTTTAGAGCTCTATGTTCACAATTTTATCACTATATGATCATATTGTAAGTTCATAATGTCAGAGCTCTGTGTTCATAATTCCATAACTGTATATTCATAATTGCATAACTTTACATTCATAATTGCATAACTGTACATTCATAATTCCGTAATTGTACATTCATAATTCAATAACTATAAAATCATAATTTTCGAAGCTCCATGTTCACAATTTTAGAGCTCTATGTTCATAATTTTATCACTATATGTTCATAATTGTAAGTTAATAATGTCAGAATTCTGTATTTATAATTTTATAACTTACATTCATAATGTCATAACTGTACATTCATAATGCCATAACTGTACATTCATAATCCCATAACTGTACATTCATAATGGCACAAACGAATAACGCCGTTAACGCCGAGACAAAATCAAATTTTTTTTTTTTAACTAGAATGACGCGTTTGTCTTAAAAACGACGTTGTTTTGGACTCGTGTCCACAATGCATTGTGGACACAGGTCCAGGGCATAATTTGCCGAGGATGGCTGCGTGCAAGAAGGTGGGGGTGGCGGCTGCGGCGTGCATGGTGTACGTTGGGTGGCGGCAACTGCTTGCAGGCATGGGTGCATGCAGGGGCGACCGTTGGCGAGCTCGGGGGCGGCTGACGTGGGTGCGTGCAGGCAAGTCGGTGGCGGCTGCATGCGGAGATTACGAGGGATGCGTGAGCATGTGCCCAGGAGTCGTGGTCGTGGGTGCATGGAGCAACGTGGACAATGCGGAAGGCGCGGGGAGAAAAAATGGACGCACGAGACGCGGTAGAGGGGCGCGATGGGAGTGGCATGTGTGTGGTGTAGAAGAGGGGACACAAGTACCTCACACGTGGCTGGTCCAGAGGGGTGCCCTTCTAATATATAAGGGGGGTGGGGAGGGGGGCGCGATCCGTTTGGGGGGAGATAGAAACGAAAAGGTACAGTTAGCTAGGTGATGGAAACCTTTCTCTTTCTACTGGTTGGTCCTAGGATCGACTCCGGGTATCGTTCTTTAGCTTGTACTTATCCGCTGGCTTGTACGTACGTTTGTCTTTTGTTGGGCCACACGCCCGTATTAATTACACATTCCTTTTTTTATCATTTCGCGTTGTATGCTCAGTTTATGGTGGACTCCGATCCCATTAAAATCAACACATCTATTGAAAATAAAAAATATTAAAATATCTTCTTTTTTTTTTTTGAATGCAAAAGCAAAACTATATTAAGCAATCAAGGAAATAATATCCTCCGGGGATACATCAAACAAAGCAAGACGACTAGTTCGAGTCACCTCCATCTTGGCTAAGATGTGGACAGCCTGATTACAACTTCTACGAACAAAACATACCACACAACCTATTTAAGACTCTAATAAACGTTTACAATCTCTAATAAATAATCCAACATAAGAAAGGTCTACCCCGCCCTTCAAGAGGTCGGTGTAAACATTCATGTAATCTACTTGTACTTGAACATTGGTGTAGCCGCGTTTCTTTATCCACGTTAGGGCCTCCCTAAGGGCACATGCTTCCGCCATCCTGGGATCGACGATACACGATAAAGGGCCATTGATGGCAGCCACAAAAGAACCATCACCCGCCGTTAATATGCACGCAAAGGTAGATGTCAATGTTAACCCGAAGCCGATGAGCTAGCCCGATAAAACAGAAACCAAAACCGATAAGCCCGAAATATTTTAGTCCAATAAAAAATCAAGCCCGATAAACCCAAAACCAATAAGCTCGGTGGCCCGGTTGGGCTACCCAAAATTTTGGTGGACTAGCCCGATAACCCAAACCACTTAGAAGTGATGATGAACATAATATACATGGAGTTTATAAGTAAGCTTATCTTCAATATTTTTTGATTAAATTTTTAAATTAAATTTTAATAAATATTTTGCAAAATAAATTAGTTTTTATAGAAAAAATAAATAAACATTATATTATAGTGTAAGTATTTTACTATAGATAGTTGCAAGTCTATTATTACTTCTTTTGAGTGCTGTTTTATTAGTTTCATTCCTAGATCAGATAACTTAATAGCTCATACCTTAACATCTTCAGCTTTTGATCAGTCTACTGCTATGTATTGGGATGAGATCCCACCTGACACTATTTCTACTTATCTCTAATATAAACCATCTTGGTTGTTTAAAAAAAAAATAGTGTAAGTATTTTAATTATTTTTAGTAGGAATTTAAAATGGAGGTTTAGATTGATTGAATGATGTATAAGTTTATGTAGAGTTAATTCCAACAGAGGTCCTTTGTCTTTGGTGACAATTCCAAATTTAGTTCCAGACTATCGTTTTTGCCATTTAACATCCCTAGACTATTATTTTTTGTAGACTTTTAGTCAGTCTCATCAGTTTTTCTATTTTTAGTAAGGGCATTTTTGTCTCTTCATATTTTTCTTTTATTATTTTTCCAGTTTAATTGGTGTATAACTTTAGGTAACCTTTGAATTTTAGTAATAATACTTTTTCAACCGATTTTTAGTAAAGTCCTAAACCAATTGAAATAAAAAATAACAAAAGAAAAATATGAAGAGACAAAAATGTCCTTATTAAAAATAGAAAAAGTCATGAGAAGGACTAAAAGTGTCCAAAAATAATAGTCTAGGTATGTTAAATGGCAAAAACGATAGTCTGAGACTAAATTTGGAATTGCCACCGAAGATAAGGTACCTCTAGTGGAATTAACTCTTTATATATATATATATATATATATATATATATATATATATATATATATATATATATATATATATATATATATATATATATATATATATATATATATTAGTATAAATGTGAGTATAAATGTGCTAGTTTGGAATATATTAATAATTTACTTATGACTAATATAATTTATATGTAATATTTATTGATGTAATAAATACGATTGGTGTCAACTATGAATACGGTTTCTAGGGTCGGTTCCGGATCCTTTACCTAGTCTTCTTGTTGTTTTAAGTGCTAGAGTTTGGAGTACTCATCAATTATAAATAGGAATAAAATAGGTTCATTTTGAAATTAAGTTTGGGTCAAAAACTTGACTCTTAGATTCACAAGTTCCTCTCAGACTTTTGGGTTGACTTTTTGATAAAAAAAAATATTTTTCCCAAATTAAATCTTTAAAACAAAACTATATAATTAAAAATTTTGTATTAACATATTCCATATAAGATTTTTAAATAAATAAATTATTTATACAAAACTAGTCAATTTAAAAAATAGAATATTTGGAAAATTCTGACTCGATTTTACGAAATAGGTTTAATTTGGGAGCAAAATTTTGGGTCATTACAGCGACGGAGTATTCTATCGCTAAATCTAGCGACGGACTTTCCGTCGCTAAATCTTGACGCAAAAATAATTATCAGTGACAAAAAAAGTGGTATCAATAATTACTTTGTTGTGACCATTACTTGGTCACAATTCTTTTTCCAAATAATACTAGTCAAATGCACAAAATATAAAATTATTTAGTTCAAAATCTTGTCATAATTAAATGTTTTAATTTAGTTATTATTTGAAATAAAATAATTCATTTAACAAATGTTACTCGTCAAATTAAAATATATATATATATATATATATATATATATATATATATATATATATATATATATATAAAGACATTATTGTCTAACAAATATACTTTGTAAGAAATACAACTGAATTCAAATAAAAACGTTTTAAAATAAAATGTCTTAATTATTCTTCACTTGAGACAGTTGATGGAGATGCATTGCTTTGTATACTACGAACACACAATGTTAATATATATGTAATTGATTATCTTGTTTTGTATTTAAAAGTTACTTTCAAATACTGCAGTGACACAATATTAACAAATTAGGATTTGATAACCTTGTATTGTATTTATAAATTCCTTCTATAACTGTTATGTGTTTTGACTTAAAAACATAATTTATATTGAGAAAATTTCAATTTTGGTCCACTGACTATTGAAGTTGTGTTGATTGCAACACTTGACTTTCAAAAATATTAATTGAGTACCTTGACTATGCAATTTCTATCAATTTTGGTCACGCCGGCCAAATTGCCTGCCAAATCTCACCAGAAAAATTTAATAGGTTAAATAATGAGAATAGTTTAGTCATTTTACTCATATATTCTTTCTTCTCCGATGAACTTCTCTCCATTTTCGGCGACGATTTCTTTTCCGATGAGCTTCTCTCCATTTCCTAAATCTGCCCCTGCGGCCCAGTATTATTTTCGTTGAGAGATAGAGGTCTAATGTGTTTTGGCAGTGATACCAAATGTTTCAAATTTGATGCAACTAATTGCAACCAGATCATTGACCTTACTTCACCTTAAGCATGAGATTCGAATTTTAAAGCTACTGTGGAAGCACGAGATTCAAATTTTAAAGCTAGTTTGTGTAAAGAGAGAAAGTCGTCGATGAGTATTGACGTACCTGCGAAGAAGAAATTTGAATGGATCGTGCTCAGAAGCTCGAGTCCGGTGCACGAGAAGAACGAGAAAAGGCACTACAAAGGGGTTCAACGGCTGCCGTGGGGAAGTTCGCGGCGGAGATCCGAGATCCAAAGCGACGCGGGAGTAGAGTTTGGCTCGGCATGTTCGACACTGCAATCGAGGCCGTGAAAGCCTATGATCTAGCGTCGTTCAGACTACGAGGATTTACGAGGAAGGAAAGCAATCCTGAACTTTCCTTCGGAAGCCGCGAAGCACAAGCTTCAGATGGCGATGCAGGCCCCCATGGACGGTGGGGTGAAGCAACGGCGAAGAAATCGTCGCCGGAAATGGAGAGAAACTGAAAGAAAAGATGAATAAAATGACTAAACTACCCTCATTATTTGACCAATTAAATTTTTTCGGTGAGATTTGTCGGCAATTTGACCGGCGTGACCAAAATTGATAGAAATTGCATACTCAAGGTACTAAATTAACATTTTTGAAAGTTAAGTGGTACAATTAACATAACTCCAATAGTCAATAGACCAAAATTGAAATTTTTTCATTTATATTCTAGATAGAAGTTCACAGTTCCAATATTAAAAATACACATCGTTTTAGACCAGAGTCTATCTTGCAAGGTGAATCCTGATCCATAGTATAACCACTCGAATATTATGGTGAAAACAGAATTGATATTTTAATTCAATACCAAAAATGTATGTGTACATATTGTACGGCAAAACTTAAATTTTCATCCTTTTGACAACGACACCTAGCTAGCTACAAGCTACCTTCTTTGTTGAAATTGACATATAATACGTTGGCCCATTTGTTTCCTCAAATGGACCACCATCTTTATTGACTTTTTTTTACTTGCATTATTAATTGTCTACCCCCATGTTTCAATGTCAAAATGTGAAACTGAAAATGGAAATTTTAGCTAAGAAAGCTATCCATTCTAGAAATTCTCCAATCAGTCATCTAAACGTCCAGAAGTCACCAACTATTCATATTTTAATAAAATTTTAGTTGTTGATAACCAGGTGCTCAATATTATTATATTGAAATCAATGTTTGATTATTTGATATGTTAATTTAGATATGTGATCGTTTAATTTAATCATTATTATCTGTTTGACTTGATTAAACAATCAATTTATAAGTATTTGATTAATTAACTTTTTGTAATAGTTTATTGTTCCAAAACACTAACAGGGCGTTTGGTTGGAGGGGAGGAATTATGTGGGAAAGGAATTGTAATTCCATGGGAGTTGAATTACTTGGAATAAAGTGGGAATTTAAATTCCAGTGTTTGGTTGACAGGAATAGAATTACTAGGAATTTCAATTCCAATGTTTGGTATACATAGGAATTGAGAGGGAATAAGTAGTAAGTCAAAAAAGTCCATTATTGTTATTAGACATTAATTTTAGGTTAAAAAATGAATGGGTAATTTTGACTCATCACTATCTTTTTTTCTCAGGATTTAAAATCCCAGGGGGGGACATGGGATTTTAATTCCATAAAAATGGAGGAATTGCAATTCCATGGAATTGCAATTCCCTCCAACCAAACTACGGAATTTAATGGCCTTTGGAATTAGGTGGGAATTAAGTGGGAAGGGAATTTAAAATCCCTCCAACCAAACGCACTGTAAAATTCAAAAGCTACTCAAATCAGATTTTTCAATTAACTTTTTGAGAAAATCATTTTACATGTAATAAGTTAATAACTAAAAGCTAATTTACTCAAACTTCTTTCTACGATCAACTAATGCTATCAACTAGTCAAACTCACTAACCCAATTAGCTAACAATTATTTACCAAATACCCCGTTATATATTTGAGCTAATATAAATTATTTTACTTTTTTCATAGTTATTAAGTTTTCTTTTTCGCTTATAATTTTTGAATTCAAAATTGATCATGGTACACGCCTTTTGAAATTTGACATAATTATTTCTCTAAACACTAAGGGGTTGTTTGGTTCACTATAATTAAATTGTAGTTGAATTGAAATTTAATGGAAGCATCAATTACGTTGTTTGGTTGGAGGGAATTGCAATTCCCTCCATTGGCTGAATTGCAATTCATGGATATATTCTCATAAATTGTAATTCGTTGCTTCTAGGAAAGGAAGAAATAGATGGAATGACAAATATGTCCTTAGTAGTAGTAGTAGTTGTTGTTGTTGTTGTTGTTGTTATTATTATTATTATTATTGATGTTGTTGTTGTTGTTGTTGTTATTGTTATTATTATTATTATTATTATTATTATTATTATTATTATTATTATTATTATTATTATTATTATTATTATATAAGAACATTTTAGTCTTTATACCACTTATTTCCTTCTCATTCCAATAATTTTTTTCTCCTTACCAAACAATATAATTTGAATTACTACTTTATTCTGACCTTATTTTTTTCTTACCGAATTACAATTTTTTTTTCCCTTTTTTCCCAATTCATTCCTTCCAACCAAACGCCCTGTAAATTTAGTACTTGACTAAGACTAGAAATGAAGATTTTTGAAACTCGAGCTAATCATCAAAAGTTAAAGAACTTAATAATGATGAACTAAAAGAGAAGTGAATTATGAATAAATATGATAGAGTTAATACTAGTTCCAATATAACGACAATTGTGTGTGTTCTTTTTTAATTACTTTTGGTCATTATGTTTAAAATTGAGTAAATTTAGTACATTACTATTGATCGAAATGTATCAATTTAAATCTTCTTGGAGGACCAACAATTGTACATTCTCAATAATTGAGGACTGAAAATGACATTATTTAACGTACGCCTAAAATTTAATTTGTCAATTCTCATGCAAACAAGTTAGCATATGAAATTATTTGAGGTAAAGGACTTAAAAATTCTAGTTCGAAACTTACACTAGTCATTGTGTAGGGATAATATCCCTTTTTGTGTTTCAATTATAGTGACAATTTCATTTTTTGATCCTCTACTATCAATTAGATGATTTTTGGTTTAAAATGTACTAATTTCTTTATAAACTTTCATCAAACTTAATAGTTCTTCATATGAGAGAAATTTAGATATTTTGAACATTATTTAGTAATTGTAAATTATATGTTGACTCGCTTCATAAAAGGCTATCATAATTCTTATTTTGAAAAAAAAAAAAAAAAAAAAGAGATTAGAAAAAATTACATTGCTCGTGTGTTTATTATATATATATATATATATATATATATATATATATATATAAAACAAAATTAAAATCATAATAATTAAGTTTTCATGTCGCACTTAATATGTTCTTTCATACCATAATAACCATACAAGTTTTTTGAGACGATAGAATAAATAATGTTATAACTCATCGTTTCATCAATAAAGAACGGAATAAATTAAAAAATAACAAATCGAAACTAATTAAAAGAAAATAAATTTATTTTCGAGAGCCATGGTGACCTGACTCGCTCTAATACCACTCGTTACTTGTTAGGATCAAGTGCTTACTATTATGCCAAAAATTATAGGTAATAGCGAAGGCTCAACTTTATTTCTTTATACCGCCACACATTTTCGCGAGTCAAGGTGACTTGGTCCTTACCCAATAGTTATTGCGTGGACTGTGGTTCGCACGACCACACAGTTGTGTGGACCATGGTCCGAAATGACATCGTTTCGCGTATTCTTTTTTTCACGCGACCCGCTGCAACATACATTTTTATAACTCATAATGTACATTATTCTAAAGCATAATGTACATTATTCTAACTCATAAAGTACGTTATCTTACCCTAGAAATTTCATTATTCTAACACAGTAACACATAATGTACATTATTCTAGCACACAATGTACATTATTCTAACACATAAAGTACATTATTTTAACTCATAATGTACATTATTCTAACTCATAAAATGCAATGACGTTGTTTTGGACTGTGGTCCACACAATAATTTTGCGTCCTTACCCGCCTCCATCCAATAATGTGAAAGGAAGAAGGGATGTGATGAAGTGAAGTAGAAGTTTCAATTCACACACGGAATTTCAATAATGATAGATCTAACACGTTGAGAAGTTGAAAATTCCAACTCCAAATGGACCCTATTGCTTGCAGTGTCCTTCGTAGACGACACAAGGTGATGGAACTAATAACAGGATAAAGAAAGCTCAGACAATGAAAAAGATACAACAACAACGTAGTCACCGGACACGCCATGCCCCATTTTTTTTAACCACATCAATCTTTACAAACAATGCTTTCAAACTTGTCCTTTTACATTATGTTAATTATCTGTTGACTATTTCATCTTTCATTTCTCTACTTAGTTTAATTTAGTGGATTCCATATTCAAATCGGAGTTTATATTATAAACTTTGACAAACTTATTGTTTGAGTAATAATTGATTCTAACCTTCAATTGGTTGACAAGATTACATTTATTTTGACTTTTTAATTTACAATATAAACAACATTGGTTTCGATTGGTAAAGCTTATTTTAAGTTACAAATAAATTATAAGCTCTGTTCGGTAAAATATGGGAACTTAAAATAATAGCTTGAGTTATTTGTTTGATTTTTGGTTTCACTCTTTTGGTTGAAGAATCATGATTTTTTTTATCTCGGCTTGAGGACAAGCAAATTCTTAAGTGTTGGGAAGTTGATAATTGTATAATTTATACATTTTTGTATTATTCTTTACGTATATTTTGTTCTCGACTTGAGGAGAAGCAAATTCTTAAGTGTGGGAAGTTGATAATTGTATAATTTATACCACTTTTGTATTATTCTTTACATATATTTTGTGTGCTTCTTCTTGATTATAATTCACTAACATATCAATTTTGCATGTTTTGGTTATCATTTGAAATAAACCTATATATGTTTTTATTATATTTATTGATTAAGGGGACAAATTGGGTCACTTATAGGGTATGCGGGATACTCGGGAAAAAAATCACCTATGTAAGATAGAAGTGAGGGTCGCTTCAAAGGAGAATTGATGGGCACAATTCTTTAGAAACTCTCGCAGAACCAGGAATGGTGATCCACGACCAAAACGGGCACAGTCATGAGAACAGAGCATGGTTGGGAGGTTCCTGTGTGAGATATGTCATCGTCTACACAAACGGCAGTCGGTTCAAAGACATCGCGTTTTACCATACAGCCAGTAGAGTAAACATATCTTTACAAGGGAAGGTTCAAAGGGTGCGGTAATCCCTACCTATCCTATGCAGGGATCGACCGTTGAACACAGTTGTTTTCGATTTCAAAATACCATAAAAATCAATTTTTCATTCATGTGGGAATTGTTGGAAAAAATAGCTTAAAATGGCATATTAAGTGGCTATTTTGTGGTGCAATTATTAGT